AAAAAAAAAAAGATTTACAACCTCAAAACCCCAGAATCTATAGGAGGAGGAGGAAGGTATCTGCTGTGGGTTAGGAGTGTGTAGTGTAAACAAACCAAAAAGGTACACAGTGCACACAGAAATTCAATCTCTTGAGAAAGAACATAGTTTTATTGCAAAGTGCTGAGAAAGGAGTCAAGTTTTTTCGGTGTGACTCTCCAAATATGTGGATGTTTTCAGACATTGAGAAATTGATAGGCGAATTATATACATATTCATTATAAAGAGGGGTGAAACGGAGGGCTGGCTGAAATTGTGTGTACTTTCGTATACAGTGAATTTTTAATTCACTGTGCAGGCATATAACAAGTTTAGGGGGGTTGTCCTCTGATGAAGTGTTTAAAGTACAAATAATAGGGGAAACAACCCAACCAAGGTGGTTGGAGGGCCCAGAACCAATCCTCTTAGCTTCTCAGCTACCATAGTATACCTATCCCAGTCCTGGCCCTGGCCCCACTTCCACATTCCTACCTATGACCCGATCAACTGCACCACCCGGATATTGTGGTGAATTTCTTTTATTGTCCACTGCCTACAGTTAGCCATGAACCCTGAGAACACCATTATAACCACCTGTTAATGCTCTCCCTCACCTATGCATTTGCTTTCTTGTCTCTGTCCTGTTTACGGTTTAATAAACGGCCCTCTAAAGTACCAGCTGAATTTGTGGCTTTCTTACTACAGGAACAATATATCCATATAAACTCTGTATTAAGTTCTCATTCACTGTAACAGCTATTCAATTGATTCTCTTGTTTGATCAGAATATAATTGAATTATGTCCAACCAGTCAGCTAGGTATTGAACTGGCAACTGGGAAGTCAGAGATTCTAACCCCCCAGACTGCTCCTTGGGAGAAAGATAAGCCTGTCTGCTCATGTAAATCTTACAGTTTGGGGAACCCTATGTCTGTAGGACACGGATGATTCAGTGAGTTTAGCAATCATTTTAGTGCTTCTTCCCAGTTTTTTGTATGTCGTTTGTCGTTGTTGGTAAACATTGGCTGTTTTCATAGGGTTGGTTTTGTTTAGCAGAAAGGGCACATAGGCTAGATCTCTCCTCCTCTCCCCAAGCCTTAATGTTTTAAAAATAAATACATTGGGAACACTGGGAAATTAGAGCTGACTATATCATGAGTGCACAGTAGTCACCGTATGTAATGGAATATTTATATTCTCAAGTGCATCCAATGCCTGCTGTTTCCCCTAGTATTTATACTTTAAAATTTTCACCAGAACTGGTCTCAAATGACTGAATAGATGAGTAAGTGAATGATGAAGTGATAGTAAGACAGGCACATTTGTTTCAGCATAGTGAAACTGTTGGCTGCTCATTGTGCACCAGACAAAGATTGCTTTTAAAAAGTAGTCTCACTTCTTAAGGCATTCATATTCTTGTTGGAGAAAACAGATCACATTAGTGATCTGTTCAGTATTAGATTTTGTCCAAGATAAATAACAAGCATACGTGTGAGTGGTGTTCGCGGTAGTCAGAAGAGGAACTTCCTAAAGGAGTGAGATGGCACAGAGTCCGAGGAACGCATGGGAGCCAAGGTGCAGGCAGGGAGAGGAAGAGGGCATTGTAAGCATGTGAAGAGTTAGTTTTTTATGATTAGACACTGATTTGCTAATGTTCTCTGGGGAATATAAACTGAGAGGAATAGGAGAAAGGAGAAAATGAAACTTGCACCGAAAAAGCATTTTTTTTTTTTGAAAAAGCATTTTATAGTAGGCAGAAATTTCAGTGGAAGTGGAAACCTGCCTCCATAAATGAAATCAAAGAATCACTTTGGGTATTAATAGAATTCACTTTCCACACCTCCACACCTCCCGGCAATGCTGGGAGCATTGTAGAGAGTGTGCCTTATCTCTCGGGGGTGGTTGGATGAAAGTGGTTTGAGACCACGAGTGTAGGCAATGTAAAATAGTGTTTAAAACTGGACAGAACACCAGGCTTGCCTTTTAGAATATTTTCATTTGTAACAAATTGAAAGGGGTGATGGTGGTGGAAGGATTGAAGGGGAGCCCTGGTGGCATAGTGATTACACACTGGGCTGCTAGCCTCTCGGTCGGCAGTTCAAAACCACCAGCAGCTCCTTGGGAGAAAGACAGGGCTTTCTACTCCCATAAAGAGTGACAGTCTCAGCAACTCTACCCCACCCTATAGGGTGGTTATGAGTCCACATCGACTTGAAGAAGGCAGTCAGTTTGGTTTTTGGTTTCGAAGGATTAAGGGAAAGGATCCATTGGACTTTGGGAGGAATCATTTCTAAAGCTATTGATTGATACAGATAATTAGGCAAGATAACACAGATCTGAGCTAATAAAGTGAGGATGATTGATTCAAGGAATATATAGGAAGGAAACTTGATAAGGCAGTGCCCGGGTGATTCAATCAGGTAATGCACTTGGCAGCTAACCAAAAAGTTTGGAAGTTTGGGTCAATTCAATGTACTTATGAAAAATCAGCGATTCTAAAATGTCCACAGCACAGTTATACTTTGAAACACATGGCATTATTTTGAGTTAGCATTGAATTGATGGCAGCTGGTTTCAGAATTGTAAGACTTAGATATGGAATATGTGAGGTGCAAAGGAGAAAGATGCTGGCATTCAGACAATAGGGATAATTATGGTTGCTGCTTTTTACTAACACAGGGCAAATGTCTCACAATAACTTTGATTCTTATTATCCCTGTTCCCCATGGGGAGAAAGGCAAAGCTTTCTTAGTCTCAAACCCGCAGGAGCTGGCAGCGCTACCTTGTCCTCTAGTGTGGCTATGAGTCACAGTTGACTAAAGGCCATGGGTTTGGTTTGAATTCTCCATGAGCATACGTATTTGAGAGTTGTTGCGAAGGCCAGAACAATCATATCCCATGTTGTTACTGAAGTATGATGTATTAGCTTTTCTCGCCTCTTTATTTCACTATTATTTTTCAGATATATTATTAGTGTGTTCTTAGTTTTATTAGATGTCTCGAGATTAATATACGTTACTTTTTGTTTCCATGTTCCGTAGAATTCATTCTGAGGGCAGCCTTGTGGATGGCCCCGAAGCAATCCTGATGGAACAAGACAGAACCAACCATGTTGAGGGCAACAGACTAAGTCCATTTCTGATACCATCTCCTTCTGCCATTTGCCAGACGGAATCTCTGGCTCTAAAGCTCCAGAATGGAAGACCATTAACTGAGAGACCTCATTCAGAAGTAAACGGAGACACCAAGTGGCAGTCTTTCAAAAGTTACTATGGAATGCCCCCTATGCAAGGGAGCCAAAATAGTCCTGTGAGTCCAGACTTTAGCCAAGAAGGTAGGGGGTATTCCAAGTGTTTGCAAAATGGAGGAATCAAACGCACAGTTAGCGAGCCGTCTCTCTCTGGGTTCCATCAGAACAAGAAATTGAAACAAGACCAAAAGCCTAATGGAGAAAGAAATGACTTCAGGGAAAGCCAAGAAAATAATCCAGGCGAAAGCAGCGGTCAGTCAGATGTCTCTGATTTGAGTGATAAGAGAGAACCTGGGAGCTCTGTAACCCAAGAAAATGCAGTTGAAGATTTAGTCAGTTTTTCAACACACAACTGCAGTGAGTCTGAAGAGGCGGGGCTCCAGATTCCAAATAAGCAGGAGGAGGAAAATGTCAACGCCCATGACAAGAACATTGTATTACTTCTTAAAAACAAGACAGTGCTAATGCCGAATGGTGCTACAGTTTCTGCCTCTTCCATGGAAAACACACATGGTGAACTCCTGGAAAAAACACTGTCTCAATATTATCCAAACTGTGTTTCCATTGCGGTGCAGAAAACCACGTCTCACATCAATGCCATTAACAGCCAGGCTACTAATGAGTTGTTATGTGAGATCACTCATCCATCCCATACCTCAGGACAGATCAGTTCCCTACAGACCTTGAACTCTGAGCTGCCTCCAGCACCAGCTTCAGTGTTGACTATGGCGTGTGATGCCAGTAATGCTGGGAAAGCACCTGCAGTGCTCGGTACCTATCCTTTTCAGAAACCAGAACAGCTACAACCACAAAAATCAGATTTTGAGATATGCCCATCTCCTGCCGAAAACAGCAATATTCAAGGAACGACAAAGCTTGTATCTGGTGATGAATTCTGTTCAGGTTCCAGCAGCAGTGTGCAACCTCCTGACGGCAGCTCTGAGCGATATTTAAAGCAAAATGAAATGAATGGTGCTTATGTCAAGCAAAGCTCAGTGTTTACTAAGGATTCCTTTTCTGCCACTACCACACCGCCACCATTGCAGTCGCTTCTTTCCACTCCCCCTCCTCAGATTTCGCAGCTACATTCAGAAGGAAAAATCCCTCTGGATGATGGAGCTTTAGAACACCATCACTATCCCAACCAAAACGACACAACTCTTTTAGGGGAAGCAAAAGTAGAGAGCCAGCAAGAGGCACCACCACCCCAGAGTTCTAACCCATCAACACTTGCAGCCAGTCCTTCTCTGATTCTTCAGGAAAGGCCCCAGAATAATTGTGTTAATAAGACTGATGTATGGACCCCGGGGACAACAGCTGTTCCATTGTGTTTGGACAAAACAAGACAAATATCAGAAAATCTCAAACACAACTCACCAATTCTTGGTTGCAGTGTAGATCCACAGGGCCAATGCCAGCAGACGATGGGACACAAAGAGCAAGAGATTCTAAAAAGCCAAGTCAAGGAGCAAGTACAAGAACTTGAGCTTCCAACCCAGTCCTTCCTGAAACCAGGGTGGATTGAATTGAAAGCCCCTCATTTTCATCAAGCAGAGTCCCATCCAAAATATAATGAGGCATCGCTGGGCCCACCTCTTTACTACGAATCCCACCCTTCTAATCAGATGACCTCAAAACAATACATTGGAAATTCCAACATGCCGGAGGGACTCCCAGGGCAAGCCTATGTCCAGAAAATAGTACAGCCAGAGCTAAGGCCACAAATGTACCACACTGAGAAGAACCAAGGGCCATCTCAAGGTACAGTGGACCAGCATCTCCAGTTCCAAAACCCCTCACTCCAGGTACCCTTCTCCAAGACAGACCCATCACCTGAAGCTCACGTGATGTCACTGGGTACCCCTAGACTTAATTTTCAATCAAGAGTAGATCCACAAATGGAGAAACTCATGCCTACGTCATTAAAACAGCATTTGAATCAACAAGCTTCAGAGACGGAGGCTTTCTCAAACTCAAACCTTTCACAGTTTAAGCCACCCGAGCAGGCAGCACAAACACAGGTATCCCAGAATACACATCTGCCTCAGAACCAGCAGCAGCAACAACAACAAAGAATGCAAATGAAGGCTAAAGAACAAATGCCTCAGGCCTTTTCACATCCACAAAGCAGCAATGAGCAGCAAAGAGAAAGCGTGTTCTTTGGCCAGATGAAAGTAGAAGAGGGCTTTCATGGTGAAAATCAGTATTTGAAATCAAGTGAATTCCAGACTCATAACACCCAACCAACACTGGAGCAAGGGCAGAATATGACGAGTAGAAATTCCCCTTATGGTCAGATTCTCACATCAAATGCCAGCAGCGTACAGCTTTCCTGTGTGAACAATGCACATGTAGTTCCAGAGAAGAAAGAGCAGACCATAAAAACTGAGCTTTATGCAGGAAACAAGACTCAAAACATATACCACACTCAATACTTTCCAAATAATGTGACCCTAACGCAGGATGCTTTTCAAAGGTGCTTTCAAGAACACGAGCAGAGGCTTCAACATGCTTCTGCTCTACAGGGATATAAGAGTAGAAACCAAGACGTGGCTAGTCAACAAGCTGCACAACTTGCTCAACAAAGGTACTTGATGCATAACCAAGCCAATGCTTTCCCGGTGCCTGACCAAGGAAGAAGTCACACTCAGACCCCACCCCAAAAGGACCTTCAAAAGTATGCTGCTCTAAGGTGGCACCTCTTGCAGAGGCAGGAACAGCAGCAAGCACAGCAATCACAAACGGAGACGTGCCCTAATCAGATGCACAGGCCCATTAAAGTGGAACCCGGGTCCAAGCCTCATGCCTGTATGCGTCCCGTCTCGGCACGGCCAGACAGCAAAACGTGGAAAAAGATACCTAAGCAAGAGAGTCCTGCTATAAGCTATGATACTGTGCAGCAAAAGAGCATCATCGAGACCATGGAGCAGCACCTGAAGCAATTTCAGGTTAAATCAATATTTGACCAAAAGGCTCCTGCATTCCGATCACAAAAGCAGGTGAAAGTTGAAATGTCAGGACCCATCACAGTGCTATCGAGACAAACCACTGCTGCAGAACTTGAGAGTCACCCCCCCACTTCAGAGCAGCAAGCAACTCATTCTTCAGAAAAGACACCAACCAAAAGAACAGCTGGTTCTGTTCTCAATAATTTTTTAGAGTCACCTTCCAAATTGCTAGATACGCCTATAAAAAATTTATTGGACACACCTGTCAAGACTCAGTATGATTTGCCACCATGCAGATGTGTAGGTAAGTGCCAGAAATGTATTGGGACACATGGTGTTTATCCAGAATTAGAAAATTTATCTTCAGATGGGGGATTTTCTTTTCTTGAGTCTGCCAGCAGCTTTGTAAAGGCTCATAAAAATCTGAAGCTTGCTTGCTTTCTTCTTTTTTTTTGGGGGGGGGTGGGGCGTATTTAAGTCATAGGTGCTATTGTGCAAAAAGGAACTTCATTTATATACAGCACTGCTCCTCCCCTTTATTCAGACCTCTTAAAACTGTGTGTGTGTGTGTTTGTGTGCGCGCGCACGTGTTTTGAAAATTCAGCTAAGTCTATATGTCATCTCCTGGAGAGAAAGCCAGTAAGAAACATCTATTAAAGAGAAGATGGTGTCCGTGTGCAAACTCAAAAAGGAGGTGCTTAGTATTATTCTTTTATTTTTAAAACATTTTCAGTATTTTTCAAGGCAAAGTTGAATGTATTACTTAGTTGCAATATTACTTTCGTATGAGCAGTATAATATTCAGTCTAGATGAATTAGGAAAAATTGTCACACTGCAACTCTGAATACTGATAATATTAGCCTTTATTTGTACACTTGAAATAATTTCTTTTTTTTATTTATTGTTTTTTTTTAAATCATTTTTTTAGGGGCTCATACAACTCCCATCACATTCTATACATACATCAATTGTGTAAAGCTCATTCGTATATTCATTGCCCTCATCATTCTCAACATTTCCTCCCCCGTCATTAGATCCTCATTTTTCCCCTCCATGCTCCCCCCCCCCTCATGGAAATAATTTCTTTTTTATTTATTTGATTTTCTCTTTTCTTTTGTTTCATTTGGTTAAAATCTGGTATCTTTTTAAAAGCACATTCTGGTTAAACTTGTATATATGATTTATCAGTAGGAGTAGGGAGTGTTTTTACTGATGAATGCAGATATGTGTGAGTGGAGAAGAGCTTCATCAGTTGCCCACCTTGGACGCAGTAGAACAGATTTGAGCAAGCATACATGTTAAACTCATGAGGCTGGTCGCCAGCTACAGCATGCATTCCTTCTCACCCCAACACCACTCACACTTAGAGAAAAGGAGTATCCACCCCGCCTGCCCTTCTTTTGTGGGTGGTCAGTCTTACTCCCTCACTTGGCTAATGTGCCACACACAGCATAGTTATTATTAGGTAAGTGATAATTCTCCTCAGTACCGTCTCTTAAAGCCATCGCCCGAAATTCTCACTTCCCCATCTCGAGTAGTTTCTCTCATCATAAATTTCCCTAAAGTGCATACAAACGTGGGTCTGGATGGAATATCTTTATTTTTCAAACAAAATAACAATACTCTGTAGAGAAATAAAATGAGAAGAATAAAGTGACAATAAAGGGAGTGCGATCTGAGGGTGAGATCGCCCAGGAAATGTTTACTACATTAGCAGGCTAGTGGCAGACAAAAATTAAATTAGCTTTAACTTTTCCCCCTCCCAGGTTGAAAAATTGGATTATAGTTGATACTACATATAGATAATACATTCAATTTCCCTCACAGTTCCCTTTGTTTAGTTCAACTGATTTGGTTTACAACAAACAATCTCATCCCATATCTGAAATGTAATTTCATGTATGTTTAACTAGCATGTATGCATACTAAAGTTTTTTGCACATTTTCTAAATAGCTCAGTCCATCAATTTACTGATTTTAAAGAAAAAATAATATTAAAAATTTAAATCACATTTAGGGCCCTTAATGTACACATGGGGTATACGCTTTGTGGATGTAGCCTTTATATTTAGTATAATTGAGGTCTAAAATAATAATCTTCTATTATCTCAACAGAGCAAATTATTGAAAAAGATGAAGGTCCTTTTTATACCCATCTAGGAGCAGGTCCTAATGTGGCAGCTATTAGAGAAATCATGGAAGAAAGGTAATTAACGCAAAGGCACAGGGCAGATTAACGTTTATCCTTTTGTATATGTCAGAATTTTCCCAGCTTTCACACACAAAGCAGTAAACAATTGTAAATCAACTAATTATTCGTAGTCTTAGCTCTTCTAGGGTTGCCAGCACTACACACTGTGCTATTCACTGGAGAGTCACAATATTTGACAGGACTAATAGTCAGCTAGCTGGCACCAGCTGCCCACTTTGAGGTGGATGCCAGAAAACCCAGGCACGAACAAGCAGCAGCAGCCAGCCAGGCTCAAGGGTGCTGGTCCTGACTGCAAAGATAGTGCCCAGTCTGACTCTTCCACTTGAGAGAACTGAAAAGAGGGAAAAAGGGGTCGTGGCGTGGGGGGTGGGGGTGCAAAAACAGAACCATTGAATAAATTCACCGGGAATTGTAAATGAGTCACTATCTCTAAGGGAATTCTTATTATAAACATAGAGCAAATACGATATGCCAAATAGAAGTAGAAACAAATTCTATTTATAGGCACTTGTCTCCTCCTGTCCTCACCCACAGCCCCACTTTTTTAATAACCATGAGTCACAGGGATGCAAGTATTTACCTGAATTGTCACAGCTACTCCTGCAGGTAGAAGACTCTTATGTGGGGATAAGCAGTGCCGAGAGGACTTTTCGTCTGTAGGTAGCTACGGCATTAAGTTGATACTGTAGTGTGCCTACCTGGAATGTGTACACTAGGAAATATTCTAAGCAGCAAAAGGTGTGTTCAGTCTCAGTCTTGCTCCATTTCCAAAATAGCACAGAGAAATTCACTAAATAATCAACCAGCAGGTAAAAACAGTGAATTTCCCCAAGTGCCCCCCCCCACCTTTGAAGTAGTGCCTTGGCCATAAGGAAAAATAAAGTTCTTCTATTAGACCCTATAGATTAAAAGTGACTAGATGCTATTGTTTATTAGCCCCATTTTTTAAAAGCATGGAGACTTTGAGAAACAGCTGAAACTAAAATTAGTTGATTCCACAAATTTTAAAAGAATTAAATTTAAAGCGGGGAAAATAAAAGCAATTAGTATATATTTTAGAAAACTGAATTTCACATAGTAACTTCAGGTATAAATTTTATGCTTTGTGAAACTGTATAGAAATATATTTTTCCCACGATGTTCACCCACCATATAACTTTCAAAATAATTCCATACCAGTATATTTTAATGTTGATGAAAAACAAGATTTAAAGACTTTTCCAGCTTCCCTGGCTTAGACACGTTTTTAAAAATAAATTAAACCATTTATTTCTCAGGATGTGTTCATAGAATAAAATAGATTCTGGTTGCCACTGTGCTCATTTGCTGACTGTATATGTGTGTTTCTGTGACTTTCTTTAAGGTTGGGAGAGAAGGGTAAAGCTGTTAGGATTGAAAGAGTCGTCTATACTGGTAAAGAAGGCAAAAGCTCTCAGGGATGCCCTATTGCCAAATGGGTAAGTGTAACTTGACAAGGACTTTGGCCTTTAATCTTGGCATTTTGCTTTATTAAGCCAACCCTGAGAATGGCATTGCCCAGATCAAAGGGTAATTTAATTTATGTCACACAGGGAAACATATCTATATCTGTTTTATCGTGTCATAATCTCACAGGGAAATATATTTATATTTGTTTTACCATGTCATAATCTCTTAGGAAAATAAGACAGATTAGTTTTTAAATCCTCCATAACTTATTTAATGGGAAGGATTTTATGGTGGGTGAGAAGTTCATTCGCATGCCTTGTTTTAAAGTCTAATTCTCTCTAGATTGAAGGGAAATTGTCAAGTCTTTTAATACCTTCAGGGAATTTTTATATCATGAATTAAGACCTTTGGCTTTAAAGAATGCTTTAAAAACCCATTATTTACCTCTGACTTCAGTATAAGGGGCACCACCCTCATTGTACCATCTATGATCTGGTAGACATTCAGTTGCTGGTCCTGGGAGATGCCACTTAATTGTGTGTGTCCTAGATATGAAAAAGATAGATGATAGATCGATAGACAGATAGACAAATGGTAACGAACCTATGCTCTCAATCTGCTGCAAGTGACTCTTGTTTTGTTTTGGTTGGGGTGGGGGGTCTTTGGGTGGAATGGTGATATGCACAGGTGATTCGGAGAAGCTGCAATGAGGAGAAGCTGCTGTGTTTGGTGCGGGAACGAGCGGGCCACACCTGTAAGGCTGCAGTGATTGTGATTCTCATCCTGGTTTGGGAAGGAATCCCCCGGACTCTGGCTGACTCACTCTACTTGGAGCTCACCGAGTCCCTGAAGAAAAACGGCGTTCTCACCACTCGTCGGTGCTCCCTGAATGAAGAGTAAGTGCAGATCAAAATGTGTGCACCACAATCAATAGGAAGTTATTTTAATAACATAGATCATTTGATAACATAGATAATTTGGGGGGGGGGTACACTGAGGAAATGTAGCCATGAGTTAAGAGCAGTTTACTAGAAGCCTATGTGTTTGTGAAACTATATGTGCCCATTTGCTGTAAGTGACAACTCTTGTGTGCTCTATCCTGTTCAGACTTCTGGATACCACATCTATGTTGTAGCTTCTTAGAAAGGAAGTTTTGTGAGGAACTTTGGGATGCTCAAGTCAAAAACTTTCATAGGAGTATTTATGTCGCAAATAAAAACCAAAGCCAGAGTTTTAAAAAGTTCATGAAAAAATGGAATTTAAAGAAAATGGATTTTTTCCAATCAGCCTCTTGCAGTCTCCTCAAATTAGCATTCTATAGAACTGATTTTTGCTTCAGTTGAACCCTGTTCACAATAGTAATCAAAATTGCTTCCTTTTTTACTGCTACTTCATAATAGAGAAATTAATAGCTGTGATGTGTATTATTCCCAGAATATCAAATTTGCAAGAGGAGGGTGAGGATATGTGGCTGAATATGATTTCTCTTAGGGAATATCCTGTGCTTTTCCTGTTTAACAGCAAAAGAAGACGAGGAGGTTCATAGTGCTACACTGATATCCAGCATCATTAATGAAATCATACTATTAACTGTAAAATCATTTGTACTTTGCCTTCTCCTTCATCTTTATATCTCCTGTCTTCTGCTTTCTCCAAATTACAAAATCGTTTGCTGAGTTTATGGGAGCGTCATGTTGCTCCTTGCCTGCCGCAACCCATTGTCACTCACTTTTCTCCTTCAGCTGGCGTTCAGGTTTATGACCACGCCCGCTTTGGCACAGGTTAACGCAGCGCTGCTCCTGCACCACGGCCAACGGAACCCTACATAACCTGTAGGGAACTGTGAGTGGACTCAGTTGTCTGCTTCCTTGATCTTGGATCGAGCAGCCCCTATGAGTTGAAGGACTTAGCTGTTTCATGGAAGTGAATTGAACTGAGCCCCCTGTACCATTGTGTGGACTGATTAGCTGTTATATTCCTTCATGCTGTATATATATCTATCCATATATATATATATATATATATATATATATATATATATATATATATATATTTGTGTGTATATATGGGCATATATGTATATACACACATATACATAATATATACCTACCATCGTAAGTGACCTGGTTTTGTTTCTCTAGAGAACCCTATCTAACACAAGCATGAATTACACTTCAACATCAAGAAAACTATGGGTTTTGGGCTTGCCGGTCTCTTAATCTGGCTTAAAAAAGTGGAATGACCTGGGATGTGGCATCTGGCCTCCCAGCTTCACATGGGGAAAGGAAAAATCAAACTCCACATCAACATAGCCTAAGGTGATTTCTGTGAAGTTGAGGGCATCCTCAAACCCCCAACCTTCCTAATATTTCTGACCACCACTCTCCCTCCCACTGCTCTCTTTATTCTCTTAACAAGGCCAACTATTTCATTGAAATGGCCACAAGACACACTATTTAGTAAGGAAGCTAGCAAGTTACCATAGACCAGGATGTAGTTATTCAGACAGGACAGCCTCTTCTCAGCTGTGCTTGCAGGCAGGCCTCTCTCTGGTCTTTGGTCTCTCAGCACATGGCTCATTGGCCTATGCAGTGCAAGTGTGTTGCAAAGCTCTGTTAAAGCTACAAATAGTGCCTAAAGAGACCATGCCATTTAGCTCTAGCTCTCACTCCAGGGGTCTGGAAACAGGCACTCCCCCACCCCCAATTATGTGACTGGGGATATACTCCGCTCTAAAAGGCAACCTCTGGCCCAAAGGCAAACCACTTTATTTCCTCTCTGGGCTGGGAATTCTATGGCTCTGGCTCATGCTCTGGCTCATGATTCTCCTACCACTCCTTTGGTGTCACAGCTGTTTCATGGATCAAGGGGGTTCAGTGCACAGGGATTCCAGGATTCAAATGAGGCAGTCTGCTCATGGTTCATCTATCTAGTCTTTAGGTTGTGCCTTCCCTCCTTACTTCTGAGATAGCTTATTTGGTGCCCAGCAGGATGGATAACCACAGTTAACCCTGTTAGCAATTATGCACATGTAAGTCATATGGTCCTACCAGGCTTATAATCCTCCTTACTCAGACCCCTCAGGAAAAGTCATTAGGTGGGAGCAGCAGCTAGGAGAGAACCCTATTAAATAACCCACTGAACTCCATAAACCGCTAAATGTCATCATAAACTGAGAAAGTCGTGAAGATAGCCAAGGTTTGTATTTCACTTGGATTGACAATACCCATGGAACCAACAGTTAAAACAAAAGATCGCACTGGGAAAATCTGTTTAATTGCATAATTATATAAGCTTGGCACGGGAAGCAAGCTTGAGGAGAAAGCAATGGGACCCACAGCCCCAAAGGGATGGGGGGAGGGGGGGGATGGGGCAAGGGAGCATCAAGCAAACAACGCCATAGGGGAACAAGGAGGATGTAGAGATCCGAGTGGGGGGCGGGGACACCGCAGGCATGTTGGAGCAACAGTGGTCTAGCTGAGAAAAATTGCTAAGGTGAAAGCAGGCCAAGCATTATGGTGGGGCAGAAGGAAAGTAAAAGGAAACAGGAAGGGTCTAGGAAGCAAACGTATGGATCGAGATACAAGCATAGGTGTGTACATATGTAAGCACATTCGTTCATAAAATAGAGGTATTGGCATATGTACATTTATTTATATGGCAATACACTGAGGTAGTGGATGGACTGCGGGCCTCTGCTCATGACCCTCCCTTAATGCAAGAGCAGCTTGTTCTAACAACCTGGCATTCTGTGATGCTCACCCTCCCGTCACAATTGCTGAAGACAAAAAAAAACGGGCTTGTAAGCAAATGTGAAAAAAGCAGATGGTGCCCAGCTAGCAAAAGAGCCTCTGGGGTCTTAAAGGCTTGAAGTTAAGCAAGCAGCCATCTAGCAGAGAAACAACAAGCACACATGGAAGAAGCACACCAACTTGTGTGATCACGATGTCGTGTCGGGATCAGGCAACAGGTCTGAAGACCCAAAACAAACAAAAAACCATATTGAGAATGAGGGGGCATGGAGCAGAGCCCCAAAGCCCATCAATGGGGCATCCCCTCACAGAAGGGTCACAGGAAAGGGATGAGTAAATCAGGGTACAGTAAAGCACTGATGAAACACAATATTCCTCTGAGTTCTTGAGGCTTCCTCACCCTCCATTGTCATGACCTCACTCCTGCCTTTCACTGCAGGCTAGACAGGAGCATTTACACAGACTCAGATAAGAGATAAGAGCCCAGGACACATGAAATCCAGGAACAAGAATGGGAGCAGCGATACCAGGAAAGGGAGAGGGAAGAGGAGGGGAGGAAAGGAGAACCAATCACACATAACCCCACCACCATGGCCTCCAGGGGAACGGACAGTAGGAGTCATCTGGGAAGGGAGACCGTGGTCAAATTTAAGATATGAAAGTAATAATACATAATTTATGAAGGGGTCGCAACAGTTGGGGGTGGGGAAGGACCTAATACCAAGGGCTCAATAGAAAGTAAATGTCTAGAAAATAATGATGGCAACATGTACAAATATGCTTGATACAATTGATGTATGAATTGTTAGAGCTCTTAAGAGCCCCCAATAAAGTGATCTTTTAATTAAAAAAAACAAACAAACATGACACCTTTTAAAGTATTCTCAAACAAAATGTCACTTTAAGGACTCAAGCCATGGGGCTTTCAGTTGTCTCGCATTTGTGTAAAAGCTGAACAATGAATAATGACCGAAGAAGAATGGATACCTCCTTATGGTGTTGTGAAGAATGTTGAAAGTGCCATGAACTGCTAGTTGAAAGAAAAATATATTTGGGGAAGAAGCACAACAGAGGGTTCTTTAGAAGTGAGGATGGTAAGCCTTTGTCTCCTGTAGTTTTGACATCTTAGGAGGAGAGAACAGTCCCTGGTAAAGTTAAGGGTCAGCTTAAGAGACGAAAGCTCTCAATGAGTACTACTTACTAATCCAGTGGTCTTTTAGGGCGACAAGGAACATCTCTTTGGTTTCTGACACTGGGCTTGCTGCCCAATCTTCTAAGCACACAGTGGGAATGGGGCCAGTTTGCGTCACAAAGACGGAGTCTTGCCCACACCCAGGACTCTGATGAAGGTTTCGATTTTGTCTGTGAACATCAAAAATGTTTGAGGACACACCGAGCACTTCTGCACATGCTAGACAGGCCAGGTCAGGGCTCAGCCGGTTCTGTGACCCCAGCCCTGTGCTTGTCTCAATTAGGCAGATAAACACAATTGCCTCTTAAGGGAATAGTTATTTTAAAATGAGTCTCAAGGCTGATGGCTACTCTGCAGACCACCTCCCCAAAGAAACTAAAGCCAGGTGGTTGGCTTCTAGATCATCTCTTCCCTCAGATGTAGTCCATTTGACTCATGCACCTTCTGCCAGGGCAAATTCGGGCATACAACCTCCTGCTCCATTTCTATCACACGGCTATATTTTTCAACCACTGTTCCTGTTCATTTATTATATTTTTGTCTTTCCTATGTTAGAGCTTCAAGGTAAAAATTAGTAATTAGCTTGTGACACTCATAAAAATTCTGAAAAACAAGCAAACAAAACTTAAGAGCTACATATTTAATCAGGTATAGTTTTTGAAGTTTCTTCTTCCACATAAAATTTTTTAATTATATGTCTGGCAGAAATTAGAACTTGGGTGTTTTGCCAAGAACAGAGAACAATCTCAGATTAGAGCTGCTGACTCATAATTTAATGTTCAAAGCTGTGAAAACTTCATTACTGCCTTCTCACAAATCTCCACCACTGCTCAGACCATACCCATGCTGCTCGCTGGGAGTCCAGAAAATAATTGAACGATGACAGCATCGTTCGTGGGGAAAGTTTTTAAAAAAGGCAACTGATTTTAATGTTTCCTTTAAGCTAACCCAGCTGTTTTCCCTAAGAGATTTCTCTTTGAGGTTTTCATTTTATGACTAGAAGGGGTTTTTTCCCCCTTTGGTAAGACTTGTGGGAGCACATCTATCACCATAGGGAAGCGAAAGTAAGAGATGCCTTTTGTCATGGTGGGTGATTTTAGACTTTTTTGGTTTTGTTTTTTTTTATTTTAGACTTTTTAAGAAAACAGTATGTTATGGAGAAATTTTCAAAGATACCAAAAAAATAGTATAATATTCCAAATTCCTGTAAAGTAAGCAAACCTCCACAACCATTGGGGACATTTTACTAATATTGTTTCATATATTCACATGCCAGTCCCTCGCCCCACACCTACCTCTAGGAGGTAGAGGTAAAAGCAAAACACATGTCCCCTAGGATCTCAACCTGTAAATTCAGTATACTATGTTAGCAGATAAGACTTCTTTCAAAACACAACCACAGTGTCATTATCATACTTCATAAAATTGATAATCCTCAATGTAACTTAATATTTAGACCATGTTCAAATTCCTTAATTAGAGTGTTTCATAAACAGTAACAAAAAAAGTTAATTATTTTTCTTAACTGTTTTTGTCGGAAAAGAAAGCCCCCAGCACGCATTTGTTTGAATCTTTTCAGACACTGGATTAGGCTATTGTCTTGTCATAATTATTAATAGAACATCCATTTATTCTGAAGTATTCCAGTTTGGAAGATAAATTATATGGTCCATTATTCTCTTTAGTCTATAATAATTCTCCCTCCCTTTTCTATTAATTTATTAATTTAAAAACACCTACGATATTTCTCTGAAAATGATTCCACATTGACTTTGGCTGATAGCGTCCTGTTATATTGTTTAGCATGTTCCTCTGTTTCCTGTAACTTGTGCACTCGTCATATCTAATAAATTTCAGGTTGTATATGAGACGACTTAAAGAAGTTCACAGCAAATGGAATGAAAAGATAATGATATTTTCCCAGGAGTTTTTAAAATCCCCTTCATCTGGCTATGTATTGGCTAGAGCGCTCCATTATGTGATCCCTTTCTGAGGTACATCCTGTCTGCTTTGTCCTATTTTTAGTGTTATTAAAATGTTCAGGGCTTGTGTACTTGATCTGCCCATCACAAAGTTCCCACCAAATTGTTACCTAATTGTTTATTATAATCCATTGATTATTATTTTGTTGGTTTTCAAATGTTCATTTCTTTCTCTTTTTTTCTTTTACCATTTTATTGGGGGCTCATACAATTCTTATCACAATCCATCCATCCATCCATTGTGTCAAGCACATATGTACATCATCATTCTCAAAACATTTGCCTTGTACTTGAGCCCTTAATATCGCTGCTCATTTCCCCCCTCCCTCCCCACTCTCCTCTCCTTCCCCACTCCCCCCTTCTTCAGGAACCCATCATAATTCATAAATTATTATTTTTTCATACGTTACACTGTCCAACATCTCTCCCACCCTCTTCTCTGCTGTCCGTCTCCCCAGGGAGGAGGCTATACGTAGATTTTTGTAATCAGTTCCCAGCCACTTTCTTCTTAATGTCTTTCTGCATATGTGTGTTTTGAGCCCTTCCAAATGAATGGAATTCGCTATGTGGCCTCTACCATCTTTACCGTCTTTTAATTTTCCAGGTTTATCCTGAAAACGTCGATCATTACCTCATCCCTTGCTTTGTCTGTGTGACAATCACGCACACAGAACTATTGCTATTAAGACTCCAGTTCATACATGCACGGGTTTATTTCACAATGCAGAGTACTAACTAGTATACAATCATGGCGCGCCACACACTCACAGCCAGTGGGTTTATTTCAAACAAAATGTGTTTGAGAGGGTACCTGTGATCACTTGATGACTACAGACAAGTTCTCAAGTAATACACATTTCTGATGGAGAAGTTTGAAGAAAACTGCATTACTGGCAAAAGGCTAGATACTTTTTATTGAATTTTCTTCCATTGTGATAATACAGGGAAACCTTACATCTACTTTACAGCCCCGATCTTGCTGTTTTAGATTTTTTAGTTCCCCAAACTCAAAGAACTTTTAAAAGGAACATAATCTGGGTCCCGCAAGGAAGCCAAGGCTGCCATTTTGATGTGATGTGAATCAGAGGGGCTTAGAGAAATGGAAGCACCTTCAGAGGTGTGTAGATTAGATGGAGGCTGTCTACAAATAGTAGCTTCACATTGTTTTGTTTAATAAAGGTATCTGATTATTATAGCAATACTTTTTGACTCACTGTCATCCATAGTTTAATGATTTCTTTTGTAAAAATTACTACCAGACTAATTCAAAGGAGTTGGAAATTTAAGATAGCCCAAATGCCCAACCCTTCTAAGGTGCTTCATTTTCCCTGCAATCGTCCCATAGGTACCATATATACTCAAAGTATAAGCCGACCTGAATATTAGCCAAGGCACCTAATTTACCACAAAACAGCATTTAAAAAGTGCTGAAAAGCTCAACTTCTACACAAATATATAGGTAAATGATTCCTTAGAATTTTCTATATACAAATTGTGCTATGTAAATCGAGGTACTTTTTTTCTCCCAATTTTAATGCCTTCAATTTTCCCCCCCCTCACCTAATTTTCCTGGCTAGAAACTTCATTAAAAGTTGAAGAAAAAAAGTAGAGGAGAATTGGCAAGAGTGAGCTTTCTTGTCATGTTCATTAGTTAAGGGGGAGCATTCACTCTTGGCATCAGCAAGAGTGTTTTGGTTTTTTGTCCATGGAAGTGTTTCTCTAGACTAATAAGGGTTACTTTTTGTACTCTTAAAAAAATTCTATTAGTATGGTGCATTGTCTTGATTTTCATGTATTAAACCAAAATTGCATTTCAGAGGTAATTTCCACTTGGTCATAGTACATAATAAATATATTTGTTGCTAGATTTTATTTGCTAACATTTTCTTAAGGATATTTATATATATTCAGAAGGGATATTGGTTTGTAGTCTTAATGTCTCATATAATGAGAAATGTACCCCCCCCCTTTGAAATATTTATAAACAATTGGTGTTAGTTATATAAATATTTGGTATCCGTCCACTGTGCATAGACTTAAGGGATTTTTGGATTACAAAATCAATCAAATTCCTTATATAATTAAAAGGAAGCAAAAAACAAAAGAAAAAGGATAAATAAAAAAATAAAAGAAAAAGGATAAATAAAATTATTTTCGAGTTTCATTAAAATATTACATAGGACGGATGTTCTTTTACCTCTGTGCTCTCTTTTCCTTTTGAGAATTCCATTAAACATTTGTTGGAATGTTTAGTCAGATCCCTTGGGTACCCAAATCTCTTTTCTTTTTTTTTTTCTATTCCTCAAATTGGATAATCTTAATTGATTTCCTTCTTTTCTTTTTATGCTCAGATTTGTTGTTGGAACCATCTTATCAATTTTGAAAAAACTTTAATAGTATTTTTTAGCCCCAGAAATAATATTATTTCCTTATTAAAATGTCTCTATAAATACTCTATTTTATGTGATATTGTTTTCATACTCTAGTTTTTAGACATGAGTTCTTTTGTTTACTTGATCATATTTAAAAGTATTAAGTCTTACTAGCTATCAAGTCTAACATCTAGGCTTTTATTAGTGATAGAAGTTACTTTTACAGAACAATTCCTCAAAAGAAATAACAGGAAGTTCTAGTATACTATTAAATATTTTCCTTCTTTGTTTGGTTGCTAGTGACATCGATATGTTGAATTTGTGAATATGTATTAATCTGTGTAATTAATGTATTCTTTTATGCCTGTATATTATACTGCAATAAAATAATATAGTTTAAAGTCAATTGAAATAGTTCTTTAACTGATTGATACAATAGTATACGAGAAGGTTTTAAAAGTTCATGGTAAAATTCTAGTGCCTCTTAATTCCTTTCCCCCCCCCCCCAAATGAAGTTTTTGAAGCCCCTTCACTGTGTCAATCTGGAATACCTACATGGGGAAAAAAACAAAACACTGACTGGCTTTAAAAAAAAAAGTTTTATACTAATTATTGCATGCAGATATTATAGGGCAGGCAAGAACTGCCTCTATGAGTTTCCAACACTTTACGGGAGTAGAAAACCCCATCCTTCTTCCATGAGCCGGCTTGTGGCTTTGTTCTGCTGACCTTGCAGTTAGCAGCCTAATGCATAAGCACTGTATGATGAATCAAAATCAACTTGATGGCAGTTAGTTTGGTTTTAGTACTTGCAGATACTTATGACGTAAAGTTGGCAACCTAAATAATTCTATTTATACCCAGAAAAGTGGTCCTTTGTATTAGCGTTTAAATTCTGAGTACCTACTTCATAGAAAGCTATGGATGAACGTGAAGGCCCCGAATTTATTTGTAGGGTCACCATGTGGCTGGAGCCTGAGGTGAATCCCCTCTGACCATCAATTGGGGACGTGAATAACCTAGCTATGAGACCAAGTGCTTTGGAAAGTGAATTAATGCAGATATTATTAAGTTAAAAATGTAATACCTTTTCATTTATTTTCCTTTTGACCATTTTAAATTTGTTGTAGTTTTAATTATTTTCTGCTCTTTTGCAATTTATGTTTTTCTGTTTTATTTTGTTGGGGGGGGTTATATTTTTCTTTTATATGAAATCCAGAATAGGTAAATTTAGAGATAAATAGATAAATTTTCTAAAATTGATTGTGGTGATGATTTCACAACTCTTTTTAATATGTTTAAACCAGGCGTGTGGGGAACCCTTTTCCTGCCAAGCATCATTTGGATATTTACAACATCATTCATGAGCCAAACAAAATTATTAACTTAAAAGTGAGCCTGCTGTATTGATTAGCTCACCCCTAATGTGATGGTTGGAACTGCCTCTCTTTGGTGAGGCACGTGATGTTGGCCGGCAGTGATGATCTCCTGGGCCTTATACAGCCTGCTCCCCTCCCCTAGTTTAAACCATTACATGGTAGGATATGTGCTTTATATATCAGTGAAACTTAAACAAAAGTGGTCCTCTGATTTCTCAGGAAGACCTGTGCCTGTCAGGGGCTGGATCCTGAGACTTGCGGTGCCTCCTTTTCCTTTGGTTGTTCGTGGAGCATGTACTACAATGGATGCAAGTTTGCCCGGAGCAAGATCCCGAGGAAGTTTAGACTGATTGGGGATGACCCAGTAGAGGTTAGTTGACTTTTTGTTGTATCATTCCTTGTCATAAAGCCTGGGCAAAGTTAACAATGTGGCAGATCCTTTTGTTATTGTTCGGTGCCATGGAGTCAGTTCTAACCCATAGCCACCCTACATCCCTGTGCAGATAGTCTATTAGGCTCCCATTAACCTGGGTTAATTTGATCTCAGACATGAATCAACAAGGTTTTAGACATGTAAAATATTATCATTTTGGAATTCGCTTACCTAATAACTGTAGTACCACAATGAGTTCTAAGCAGCATGTGAGTGCTCTATCAGTGACATCTCTTGTTTATTCTTTGTCATAATGTTAGTAGATCCCATGCTTCATCTCTAAGAATTTTACCCATGTATGAACCATCCAAACATTTTTAGTTGTACTATAATGATTTCATCTATTTAAAACTTTAACTTGTTTTCAAAATGAAATTCTGATACAGATCTGTAAAATGAAGCATCCCCCATGGGGGGTGGGTGGGGGTGGGGGGGGGGAAGAAGCACATTCTTTCAGGAGCCCATCTTCTAGGCAGCAAACTGGACAGAGAGTGTGACCTCTTTAAGACCTCTTGGCTTCCATCTTCTAACTCAACCCAGAGAATCTTACATCTTTATTATGACTTATACTCAATCCCCACTGTAGACGTGTGTTTATAAAATGCTAAATATCTGCATATACATGCTTTTCATTTAGATACAGTTGTGTTTTTAAAATACTTTAGTCATTTAATGGGAGAGTTACTATGTATTGTATTTTGGATCTAGAATATACAGAGAACAGTTAACTGATAGCTTCTCATATGTAGAACAGGATTAGAATTTAATGTAAATAATTATTCATTTTAAATAGGAAGGAAAACTGGAGGATCATTTGCAAGGCCTGTGTACTATTATGGCACCAATCTATAAGAAACTTGCACCTGATGCTTATGATAATCAGGTAAGGTTAAATATTTATTGGTTAGAACTGTTTATTTATTGATTAATGATCTCCCTATTTGCACACACACTTGGAGGCAGTAGCTTTCTGTACTTTTCTTACTTTCCTTCGTTAATGTTGCAGCCATTACATTGTTCTGTTTCTATATATTGTACTATCCAAAAGAGAATGTATTTGATGTTTCTCCATAAATAAAACGAGATTTTAAGACTTGGAAGTTCTTCCATCTGCTAATCTTCTCATATGGATCATTTTGGGTATATAAGCACACTTTGGAGTCGTCACTACATCAAAATTAAGTGATGAAACCATAGATTGTTAACCATCCCTTAATTTTTCCATAGTGTGTTACATTTTTGGTTTATATACGTGTCCATATAGGTCATATATTTTTAGGTTCTCTTGCTTTGGGCTGCATGAAACAAGCACAGGGCTTTTTCCCTACCTTCTATATTCATTCTAAGTTATGTCCGTTTTTAAAAGCTAAGTTATTTGCTCACGGAAGGAAGCTGTGTTCAGCTGGGTTGACTGGGGAAACAAATCCAGTGACATTGGTATATGTATGAGAAAGGGTTTTATATCAAGTAGTAATTATGCATCAAGGCAGCATCCCAGACCAGTCCAGATCAAGCCCACAAGGCCAGTGCTACTCCATAGGTCCCTCTTCAGATTCATGCAGCCACATGCAATGATGCAGGAGGAGCCCACGCCTGTGGGTGCAGAGTTGCATGGATCCCAGATTGGTGAAATCTTGGCAGGGTTCTAGCAGCAAGCAGGAAGGTGAATAGGGAAGAAAGAGGACAAAGGGGTCCTCCTTATAAGAAGTCCAAACTCCCAAAGACACAGCATAAGGCATCAATTGAAAACTTATTACAAATTAGACACTTAGTTTATTCACAAGGGTCATAAAGATGAAGGCAGATGATATGTTTTTAAAGAATTCCTGGTTTAGAGAAAATAAACTAACAATCACACAATTACATGGTAACATAGGATAGATGTAACATAGGATAGATGTCCGTGCACATTTCTGAAGAACAAAAGGGACTGAGGATAAAGTAGAAACCTAAGGTCATGAGTGGCTTGGGATGTCACAATGTGCATGGCTTTGCACACACTGTCTTGCAAGTGAGAAGGCTGCCATTGAGTGGATTAAGTGTGTAGTTGGGAGAAGGAGGTAAAGTGATTATATTTGTATTTTGAAAATGTCACTTAGGAAGACAAATGAAATATAACAGTATAAGATTAAATGAAGAGAATGAAGCTATTACTATCAATCTGCAGAAGATTCTAAGCTTCTGCACTAAAGAAATAACAGTAGTGATTGACAGTAGGAAGTGTGTGAAGTATTGGAGATGGAAGGCAATGACCAATTGGAGGTGAGAATGAGCAAAGAGAAATCTCTGTCAGAGCTGTTTCTATCTTGGAAACCTGGTTCTATTAACTGGGCATGGGTGTTTTGTTTTGGCAGCCATCTGGGGAAGATGAATTTTTATCTGGTATGTGTTGGGATAGAGATAGTTTTAGAATAATTAGATGGGTCATCAGGAGAAAAATGTGGACTGGCACTGTTGATTTACAAATGATCAAATGCAGCCATAGTTGCAATGCAGTTTTTCGGAGTGATGGTTGTAAACATGAGTAGGAGTTAAAGATCATATTCGGAAACACAGCAACATTTTATTGGTGGGTAAAGTAAGAGAAACTAGTTAGTAAATGCTGAGATTAGTATTAAATGGTATAGAAAAGAGGTTATAAAGTTTTTGGTGGAAGAGGAAAACAATAGATGGAAGAATGATCTAGAATTTATAGGTGGCTATCCAAAGCAGTGTACAGCAGGTATAGGGGTAGAAAGGTGTAAAGGATGGTAACCTGGCAAACATTGTCATTTATGTGACAACATTAAAGACTTAAGTTAGTTTATAAAGCAGAAAGATAGAGGAAAAAACCTAAATAATTATTTTGGTATTCTCTTCCTTTGTGGCGTTTAATGCACACCTGTGCATGCATGAGTGCACGGGTACACACAACCACCTTTTAAGGGAATTAGCATTGAGTTCTCCCAAATTGATTCCAACTCAGGGACCTCATGTATCAGAATAGAATTGAGTTCCCTAGGGTTTCAGTGGCGGATTTTAAAAAGTAGACCCCCAGGCCTTTCATGAGAGGTGCTTGTCATCGGACTCAACCAGCCAACCCTTGATGAGCAGGTAAGCATATTGACCATTTGCACAAATGAGGGAGTCCTTGAGGCAGCAGGAGGGACTAATTTAATTATAGCCAGTTTATACATCTTGTCATTTCATAACTTCTTTTTAAAATGTGTGGGATATCTATGAAGTTACTGTAAATTCTAGTGCTATTCATGAAATTAATATTTTAGATCACTATTTCCATGAATATTTCAGAAAGGTTTAAAGCATGTTTTAAAACTGTTATTTAAGGATTAATTCTGGGGAAGAGAGACATTGGACTACACCCACTATGGGAAGAAAATGAATTGAGTGTATGTTGCTAAGATGTTACATTTAGCCCCTACCTGTAAAGTGGTATATATATATTTAATTGAGGGAAGGAACCCTGGAGGTATAGTGGTCATCCGTTGGGCTGGTAACCTTAAAGTCAGTAGTACAAAACCGCGACCTGCACCAAAGGAGAAAGACAAGGCTTTCTCCTGTAAAGAGTTAGAGTCTCAGAAACCCACAGAGGCAGTTCTCTCCTGCTCTGTAGTGTCTTTAGGAATCCGAATGTGCTCAATGACAGTAGGTTTTAATGGAGGGAAAGGGACGAAACAGCCAAGCATTACTGTGTAGTGCTTTGAACCTTATATAGACTTTATAGACTAATCTAGGTGCTCCTCTTGTTTTTAAAAACTTAGTTTCTTCATACCCAGTGCTGTTTTTCTATGATGGTCATATCTTTAAACTAGCAGATTCAAATCTCAAGTTATTTGTGACTCATTATACATAGTGGCAATATTTTAGGCTGTTCAAGAAATTCTATGCCGTTCAATATGGTAGCCAGGAGCCACAGTGGTTATTGAACACATGCATGATTAAAGCAATTATGTTAATGAACTATAACTTTAACATGTTGAATTAATTTGAATTAAAATAGCCACTTATTGGCTCTACATTGGACAACACAACTTTAAACTATTAGAAATCTATGCATTTAGAATTATGTTTTAGTCACCATAATGGATTCCCAGAAATTCCCTTATATATACCTATATAATATTATAAAACGGTACAATTCTATTTACCAAGATGCTGCATTTTGTATTCATTTTTATTCAAAGTTAATTAGAGCACAAAGCCAAAATAATAACACTAACTTATTTCCATGAAATCAATTTCAGCTCATAGGGATCCCTTAGGGTGAGTAGAAAACACTTCTAGGGTTTCCAAGGCTGTAAATCCTTATGAAAACAGACAGCCACATCTTTCTATCATGGAGTTTCTTATGAGTTCAAATTAGCAAACTTTTGTTTAGAAGCCAAATATTTTAACCGCCAACATGAAACAGAGTAGTAATTGCCCCCACTTTCCATTTATCCATATTTAAGGCTAGGTATAAAAATGTACTGGGTGAATCTCTGGTGACCATTCTTTTAGAAGAATGAATACTAGACTCTTTATAAGGAATTGGAGATTAATGATGTCCTAAACATCCAAGTCTTTAAAAATGCTATTCAACTGCATTTTTTTACTCATCTCCCTTTAAGTATATTCCTTCATGACTCTGGGTGCTGTGATTTTCTATGGTGTCCCACAGAAACTCATGATACTTCCAAGGAAATGTCTCACATGTTGATGGGTGCAGTTAAGTCTAATTGGCAGAGGAGAGCCAAATGCAGGATCCAGAGACAAAAGCCCCAAAATACCCAAATGCCACAGTCCTTTGTACCAAAGCTCAGTCCTGAAATAGAGGTCTGACTTTCCAAATGAGGCAGCTCTATGGTGGTTCCATTGTATAGCCCCGGGAAACAAAGGACGTGACTTGATTCAATCCCTGCACTAAGGTGGGGTCTTCAAGATGGCCTCAAAGAAACCAGGGGCGTGGCTTGATTCAGGGTTCTACTGAGGTCAGAAACGAATCCCACTCTATTCCTTTCCTTTAGGAGAGAATGCCTTCTATACAGGGACTACAGTCACGAGTAAAGGCCAGAGTTATAGTATATCATGAATCCATTAAGAATACATAGTTTATATCAACCTATCATAAGGAATTATGGTTAGAAGGGCCATATTAATTGACTGTAGCTTTTGCCATGACACAGAGACTGGAGTATACCTTTAACAAATATGAAAAAGCGGATACGACATAGCAATGGCTTTTGGATTTGGAACAAAAAAACAACGCAGGGCTGTGATATCTTAAAGAAGGTCAACAGAGAGAGCAGAACTTTAGGATTACCATATATACTCGAGTATAAGCCGACCTGAATATCAGCTAATTTTACCACAAAAACTGCATTAAAGATGTGCTTAAAAGTGTGGCTTATACACGATTAT